GATCACTACTGGACCCCCCTCTTATGGTTTCTGAGTGTCAGACCTTCTGATCGCCAATGGACCCCCTCCTTTGGTTCCTGGGCCCTGGGCCTCCCATCCCTGGCCCTTCCCTACAGGTACCTCGTGACCACCCTGATGGGGGCCGACCTGAACAACATCGTCAGATGCCAGAAGCTAACGGATGAACACATCCAGTTCCTAGCATATCAGCTGCTTCGGGGGCTGAAGGTGAGAGATGAGCCGGGCCCCTGGATTCCCCTCATCCCCAGGACCTGATGTTTCCCTGACTCTGCCCTCCCTGACTTGCTCCCTCCTGGGGCTGGATAACTCACCAAGTGGGTCGCCAGGCCAGGCCCTGCCGATGGTTCACCTTCCTATCTATCTTGCATCCCTCAGTACATCCACTCGGCCGGAATCATCCACAGAGTGAGTATGGCTGGGTCTGGGCCAGCAGAGCACTGGCGGGGCTTTGAGGTCCTGCTCTCGGGGCCTCCAGAAGGGGCAGGTGGGGAGGGTGGGAGAAGTGGGGGAGGGGGAGGGAGGATGCAGTGTAGGGGGAACAGTGCTTTGGGATCCAGGTGGGCCATGTACCAGGGAAGAAAACTCATCCGGGGTTGCTGTCATGCCAACAGGACCTGAAACCCAGTAACCTGGCTGTGAACGAAGACTGCGAGCTGAGGGTGAGGCTGCCTGGGCAGGGGGGAGGACTAAGATGGAGCTCCTTCCTCATCAGCTTCTGTTCCCCCCACCCTGAGCCCTGCCCTAAAGCCCTGGTATCTGGCCTCCAAAGGCTGACTTAGCCGCTGCTGAGAGGAGCCCAGGCAGAACCCAGAGCCAGCTCCTGCTTGTGCCCCTACAACCAGGGCTCCTGCTGAATGAACTGTGTTTCTGTCTCAGTCTCTATTCACGGTTTATTTCGTAAAGGTCTTTGACTTGGTTAAGTGGCTGGAACCTCTCTTAAAGGTCTTGGACTTGCCTTTCACCAGTGGGGGCTCATTTGTGTGCTGACAACTCCCATCCAGGCAGTCAGACCTAAGACTAGACATGGAAACCAATTCCTTCAGCTCCGGATTGTCCTTTGGTGCTGCTGTTGACAGTAGCCCAACGTTCCGCATTTGTGCTACATTTATGTTGAGGGAAAGGACCTAGGTGTCTATAGGGTGGCACAAAGATGGACCTGGGTTCAGCTGGGTCACTTGCTGGCCCTGTGACCTTTGGCTTAGTCACCATTTGGGGATTATCCATAGCTGTGTGGAATCAGAGAATCCCCTCTCCTGACCAACCAGAAGGAGGGGGGGTGGGCTCCCTCCTCTAGCTACATCCCTTGTACTGCCGCTCGATTGGCTGGATGGCACCTGGGTCGTCCCTCTGGTCCTTCCATGAGACTTTCAGTTATCCTGAATTGTCCCCAAACAATCAGCCGGGGTCTCCTTCCGCCCTGCCTTCATTTGTGGGGTTTTAATATTGCTGGCCATGTCCTGTGGGTCCTCAGAGACCAGGAGCTCACCAAGGCAGGGCCAGGTCTTTCTCCTCCTGGCTGAAGGACTCAGCTGAGGTTGTGACTCCTCAGATCTTGGACTTCGGGCTGGCCCGCCAGACAGATGATGAAATGACGGGTTATGTGGCCACTCGCTGGTATCGCGCCCCCGAGATCATGCTCAACTGGATGCATTATAACCAGACAGGTAAGGTCGAGGCAGCTTTTCACGTGATGAGAATGAGAGAGTAGCTGATGAAGCATCCTGCAGGGTCTGGTGGTAGCAAAATAGGGCTAGGGGCTGGACCTCTGGGTTCATTGCTCTGGGGAACTCCTGGGTGAAGAAAGTCCCTCTCAATGCAACTAGTAATTCAGAGAGCTGCCCAGAGCTTTGAGAAACAAAGGGTCACACAGCCAGGATATGTCAGAGGCTGAACGGGGACCCAGTTCTCCCTGGCTCAAAGACCAGCTCTGTCCACAATGCCATGACAGCATGACAGGGCCACAGAATAACACAGACACAGCTGATGCTTCAGCCCGCTCCCACCTAGAGGGTGAGCAGGCTGCCCCAGAAGACCCAAAGCAGATGTTTGACATTCCAATGAACTTGGACATTCTCATGGGAATGTGGGCCCAGAGGATGCTCTGGGAAGTATCACCTCACTCAGGTAGAGGTGAGGCCAGGGGAGAGGGGGAACTGAGCAGTTCAGAGTGGACAACTCTGAATTCCATTCTGGGAGCTGTCAGTCTCCCCTATGCCTGTTCCCGAGCTTGGCTAAAGAATTGCTGCCCTCTGGCTTAGGTTGCTGTGTGTCTGGCTCACACCTTCCCTGGGGGTCAGGAAGGTCAGGAAGTTATTGAAAAGGCCTCATGCTGGGTTATGGACTGCATGGGGTGTTAAAGGGAGAGAGTGAGTGTGAGAGGGGAGAGGGAGGGAAGGAGGGAGAGGGAAGCAGCCGCATCTAAGAGATTTCAGGAAAAGAAGGGCCGAATGTCAGCAAGGGCTGGCCAGTAAAGTGAGCAGGCCAGCTCATGGTCTGGTGAGGGAGGCGGGGGAAGAGAGGACCCAGGACCTACCCTCTGGGAGCTCCCAGGCTCGGGCTAAGGGGAAGCCCGGACGAGAGGACAGGATGGGGCCCAGATCAGAGGCGAGCTGGTCCCATAGATTAGACAGGGTGTGACCCAGCCCTGAGCCTGGGGTGGGGTGGGGTGCTTAGACTCTAAGGCCTGGAAGAGTCAGAGAAGGGGAAGGTCCAGATAAGCTGGAACAGGCAGGGTGGGCTTTCTAGTGAGGACAGGGACTCAGACTGACCCCCCCCAATCTCTCTTTTTCTCCCTCCCTCTCTGTCTCTGTCTGTCTGTCTGTCTGTCTGTCTCTCTCCCTCTCTCTCTTCCCTCTTCCCACAGTGGACATATGGTCCGTGGGCTGCATCATGGCGGAGCTCTTGAAGGGGAAGGCCCTGTTCCCTGGAAATGACTGTATCCTTGGACGGAAGTATGAGAAGATGCTGTGGAGGGCAGGGGCAGGGGACCGGGACAAGGGCTTAGGAGATGATGTGTTTTCCTTTGCATCAGACTTGAAGTCAGTAAACCTGCTTTGGAACTGACTTTGATGCTTTCTAGTGACGATCCCCAAGGAGTCACTTTCCCACTTTGGATTTCAGTTTCCTCATCTGGAAAATGGCAGTAACGATTCTCACACTCTCTGCTTCCCCTGGGCTATTTCAAGGAAAGCATCTTGCTAAGAAACCTCAATCCTCAAAAAGCTCTTTTTCATTGTCTTCTGTATGTGCGTGTACCTGGACCTGTGATTACATTGGCAAAGGGACCTCCCTTTAAGGAAATCTCCTCCGTCAATGCAAATTAGCAACTTCTCTGCAGTTTAATAGTCTGTTGCCTGAAGCACTGAGGGGTAAAGCCCCTTGTCCAGAGTCACATAGCCATCACCATCAGAGGCAGGTTTTGAACCCAGTTCTTCTGACTCCCAGGCCAGATCTCTATTCATTACACCATGATTTCTCTTGTTTTATTAGTATTAATATCAATAGTGTGGGGTTTCCCTCTGGGCTGGGCGTCCTCTGGGCAGGGGCCTGGGGACCCTGGGTGGGCAGCTGGAGCCGGGCTCTGATTTTCCTGAGCTGGGTAGACATTGACCAACTCAAACGGATCATGGAGGTGGTTGGGACCCCCAGCTCTGAGCTGCTGAAGAAGATCTCATCAGAACATGTGAGTGGCCCAGCTAGGCTCTCTACTCATCCTCCAGACTTCCTGCTGCTCCTTGCCCAGGCTCCCTTTTTGCCTCTTGCCTCTTTCTTCCCCTCCCAAGTTATCCAGTATCATTTTCACTAGGAAAGGATTTAAGAGCCCCTTGCCTCCACCCTCCCCAGGCCCGAAAATACATCGAGTCCCTGCCTCACATGCCCCAGAAGGACCTGAGAAGCATCTTCCGAGGAGCCAACCCCCTTGGTAAGGAGGAAGAGATGGGCTGAGGTTGAAGGGGAGAGAGAGCAGGGGTTCAAAGGGAAAATGGGGGAGTAGCTAAGGGTGATGAAGGAATGAGGGTGAGAGTCATGAGGACTGGGGGGACAGGGCACCAGGATAAGGAGGGGAAGGGTGGGGGCCAAGGATAATAGAGACAGAGTTAAGGTGAAAGCTTCATTTTCCTTCTCAAAGAGGGGAGTAAACATATTGATTCAATTAAACAAATAGGTATTAAGCACCTGCTGTATAACGGGGCCATGCTTGGTGTTGGGGACACAGAGAGAGGGAACATAAGCCCTGCCCCAGAGAAGTTTACCTTCTAGCTGGAGGGGAAGGGAGGGACAAAGTCACCAATAACTTTGAGGTGAGGAGATAAGTGAGGACTCACTGTCTTTGTGACCACGGAAAATCACCTCCCCTCCCTAACGGAGAGTGGGATAAGTTCAAAGGAAGTGGGCTAGTCCCCCAAAGTATGGCAAGAAATATGGTAGAAAGCTTATTTTCACCTGGGGATAAGTAGTCAGGACAGGCTCCAAGGAAGAGGTGATGCCTAAGCTGGCCTCCAAAGGAAGGTGGAGACTGAGGCTCATAGGTTCATAGACGTACAGCTGAAAGGGACCTCAAGTGCCCTTTAGTCCGGTCACTTCATTTTTCAGATGGAAAAACTGAGGCCCAGAGAGGTTGAGGGAATTGCCCAAAGTCATGCAAGTGATAAGTGGCATAGCCAGGATTTGAACTCAGTTCCTCCTATTTCAGCTCCATTGCTCTTTTCACTATACCACTCTGTCTCCTAATGGTGGAAATTTTCCTAACTGGGGGCTCAGAGCTATTGTGATTGCATTAATAACTTTTCATCTTCTATAATCTTTATAAAATAGACTAATGGATCACTGGGAAATTGGGGTCATTATGTTGCCCATCAGCTAAAAGTAAGCTAATTGTTGTATAGTTGATTAAATCTCTAGAGGAGAAGGCTGAGAAAAGGTCACACCCTAGCTACTCCCTGCGGGAAGGGGATAGGAAATGCCTGGAAAGGATTCAGCACTGCTCCTTTCCTGCAGGGAAGAGGGAGCAGGAAGAATCAACAGGTAGAGATGGGGTGGGGAATTCATTCATTCATCCATGCAAAAAACATTTATTAAGTTTCTTCTGCATGCAGGGCCCTGGTCTGCACTGGGGAAAATACAGAGTAATAATAATAATAGAATTCATACAGTGCTTTCAGGTTTGCAAAGTGCTGTGCATACATTTTCATTTAGTCGAAAAGACCTAGTCCATACCTTCAGAGAGTTTCTAGACCAAGAAGAGGATAAGACAGTCAGTCACTAAACATTTATTAAATGCCTGCTGTGTGCCAGGCACCATGCTAAGCACTGGGGAATGGAAGAAAGGGTTAAATCAGTCCCTACTGTCACAGAGCTCACAGTCTGATAGGGGCAACAACATGCAGACAACTGTATGTGAACACGCTAGACAGGAGAAATTGGAGATAATTAAAGAGGGATGCCAACACAGGCTGTTGCTGTGATACATAGTGGTACATGACCGGCACATCAGAGATGGGCAAACATCATTGGGTGTTGTCTGAGGGAGACATTTATCTCCATTTCCTGGATAGGGAAACAGAGGCCCAGAGAGGTCAGTTGTGAGTTGGGCTGTGGAGCGAGGGGTCAGGCCTCGGGCTACTTGACCCATGTTTTGATGCCATTCCCCGCCCCCAGCTGTCGACCTGCTGGAGAAGATGCTGGTCCTGGACAGCGACCGGAGGGTCAGTGCCACGGAGGCCCTGGCACACCCCTACTTTGCCCAGTACCACGATCCCGAGGACGAGCCCGAGGCTGAGCCCTATGATGAGAGCATTGAAAACAAAGAGAGGACCATTGAGGAGTGGAAGGGTGAGGGGCGAGGCTGTTGGGGTGCACAGACTGCAGGGGGACCAGAGAGCTTTGTCTTTCTCAGGCCTCAGGATTTCATTGAGCCCTGTTTCTTAGCTTGCCCCATTCCTGTCCCCTGACTTCCAGTGGGCCTATCCCTGGTTGTAGGAAAAGAGGGCTTAAGCTGGGAGGATCATGCAGGCCAATCCCCCACGGCAGAGGGGGGGCTTCCCTCCAGCCACTGCCAGCTTCCCCTGCTCTCCAGGGGCAGCTTTTGCAAGGTGGGGCTTGGTTGGCGGCCGTGGCCCGATGGGCCAGCCAGCAGTCCGTTTCCTCAGAGCTGGGAGAGGACGTTGCTCCACTTCCTCCAGGAGAGACGTCCCCAACTCTTCTCAGACGTGATCCTGGGGAGGGAAGGGGGCTGGCTTCATTTGGATGAGGAGTTCTTAACCTGGGCTTCGCAGACAGGTCTGGGGTCCAGTGGACTTGGATGGGAGTTTATTTCACTAATCTCTAACTGAAATGTAGCCTTTCCTTCAGTTATGAGTGTCATCTTGCCCTGGGCTCTGTCCCTTGGTCCCTGGCCAGCACCCCCACGTACCTGACCACCCCTTCCTCAGGCCGGGGGGATGGGGCGATGCGGTGGGGACGCGAGGTGTGGAGGGAGATCAGGGATAGGGATCTTCAAACTCACTTTGGTCCCCTGTGTCCTTGTCACCGTCTATCTGTCTCTTTGTCCCTCTGTCCATGGTTTTCATCTCCCTGCTTAGAGCTCACCTATGAAGAGGTCATCAGCTTCAAGGCCCCTGAGCTGCCAATGGACGGCCTGGAGATTGAGCCATGAGGAGGCTGGGGGCCACAGGCACCACCTTGGCAGGGCTCGACCCTGGTGCCCAGCTTCACCCAGAGGGCACAGAGCAGACTCTCAGGAAGCTGGCAGCAGGCTCTGCAGCAGAGGCGACCTCATTCACTGGGGTCGGGGGTGGGGGGATCCTTCCATGGACCGGAGGACAGTGTCTGGATAAACAAGGATAAAGGATGCTTAGAGGCTTGTATGCCTACTACCTCCAAAGGCCTCTGCCCCACTCAGGGATAGAAGTCACATGGGTAGGACCGGGGCAGGCAGGATGCCGGGGCCCCAAGGCACAGCCTCACTATCCTGTGCCTACCTCTGGCAGACTTTCGGAACCCAGGGTTGGGGAGAAGGGCCAGAGAACTGGCCATCTCTGTGCTAGAGCCTGGGCCTCACAAGGAAGACCTCTATCTTCTCTGGCCGGGAGATGGGGGTCGGGGTCGGGGGAGCTGTATCTGTGTGTCTAGGTGTGTATTTCAACATGTGTGTCTGAACAAAGACATATGTATGGGGATGAAAATGGGCAAGCTGTGAATGGAGCCTTGCACGTGGTTTCAGATTGCTCCTGTCCAGAGCGAGGGGGCTACGGGCTGCCATTCCCGGCCCTGCTCAGGCCTCACCTGGAGCATCAGGTTCAGGCCTGGGCAGCACATTTTAGGAAGGACATTGACGGGTTGGACAAAGCTCAGAGCAGGATGCTCGGGATGTTAAGAGGCCTGGGCCCCGGGGCAGATGAGGCCCGTTTGGAGGAACTGGGGAGAACACACCCAGTCTGGAGAAGAGAAGGCTTCGGGAGTACTGGATACCCTCTTCGTGTGTGTGGAAGGCTGTCATGCGCCCAGCGGGCAGGGCCAGGAGGCACAAGGAGGCAGATTCAGCTCCTTGTGAGAATGATCAGAGCTGCCCCAGAGAGGAAAAAACTCCTGGAGATTCTTGGGTGGGCAACTGCCCCCACAAACACACACACACATGCATACATGCACACATTCACACATTGCACACATAAACACATAAATATACACATTCATACACATGCATACACAAACACATTCACACAAATACACATATACATGCACACAAACATGCATATAAACACCTTCATGCACACACACAAACACATAGACATACACACTGTGGAAGTGGAGAGCTAACTTGTTGGCTAACAATAGTCAGAAGCCAAGAAAAGATCATGGCAAGCTCTGTCAAAGCAAGAGCTTTAGGCCAAATTAAGGAGATGAAATATTACCAAAGAACAAACAAAATTTTAATATTGGGCTCAAAAAATCCACTTCGCAACCACAAGAGCAGGAGATGGCAATTTTTCTGAAAAAGATCTGGGGCTTTTAGTAACTCACAAGCTCAATGTGAATCAGCTGTGTAAAATGCCTCTGGGATCTCAGCCTGAGTTCAGAGGGGCTTGACGGTGTCCGGAGCAGCGAGGGGAGGGTCTCACTGTTCTCTGCCTGGGTCAGACCTCCTCTGGGTTCAGTCCTGGGCACCCATTCTCAGGAAGGAGACCAGGATGCAAGAGGCTTGCAAAGCATGCTGGCCAAAGATCATTTGGAAGAACCTGGGAATGTTGACCCTGGAGACGTGTCATGAGAACAGCCTCCTTCTGCTGGGTCCCAGGCGGCAGAACTGGGAGCAGTGGTTCTGCAAGCCTATCCAAAGAGTTCTCCTGTGGAAAGTAGTGAGATCCCCTCCACTTCATGGTAGCTCAGTGACCCCTTGTCAGGAATATTGTTAAGGCGATTCTTGCTCAGTTATGGGTTAGACTAGATCTCCCCTCCAGCACTGAGGGTGATTCAGGTGCCTAGGCAGGTCTGTGGGTTCTGACAGCTGGCCGGCCAGCCTCAGACTTCTGTCAAGGTGGAGGCAGGCACCCCATCTTACACTGGGGGTGTCGTTTTTGGTGGCATAAGGGAGGAGCTGTGCTCCCCCATCTCCCCCAGTGGAGTCCCTGGATTGGAAAGTCACTTTCATATGTCTGTGCTGAGAGACAGGGAGCAAGGCCCAGGAAAATAGGTTCCTTGGGTTGTGGGGATGGTGTCCTGGCCTCTTCCTGCCACAATGAGGTCATGACCATTACCCTGGAATCCAGGGGCTGGGAGGATGGGGCTAACTGGGCCAAATGAGGACTGAGAAAGAGAAAGGCAAGGTGCATTTCTCTAGCTCTCACCAGCCACCGTCTTAGAAAAGTCCCAGGCTCGGAGAAGTAAGGCAATGTGCCTGTGTTCATATAGCCAGGAAGCTTTGGAGCTGGGGTTGAAACCCAAGGTTCTCCTTATGTCCTGGATTCTGTTCACTGCTGTCCAAAAGTGGAACAGGTTCTTAGCTAGCTAGGCCACCAGTGGACATTTCCAAATGAAGGCTAAATGCTCCTAGGCTGGGAGCACAAAGGAGGAGCAGCGCCCCAGGGCCTGCCCCCAGGGAGCTTCCAGTCTGGGGAGTCCTTGAAACTTATACTCTGTGACTCAGGGCTCACACTCCGAAAGCTAGAGATATCAGAACAAGGGGAACCCAGGTTAGACTAGAGCAATCTGGGCAGGCTTTCCTAGAGGGTAGGACCTGAGCTTTGAAGGTTTCTAGGAGAGAGTGCCCAAGGATAGTTGACCTGAGTTGGTGATGGTGGCCTTTTCACAGGGGGGTGATATGAGCCTTAATGCATTGAGGGCTGGAAGGGTCTCCACCTCCCTTCCACTGAGCTGGCCCATCTCTCTGCCCACTAATGGAGACGAGATTATCTGTGTGGGGCTCAGCTCCCAGATGCATGCCCAGTACTGAAGAGGGGCCAGGGCCTGCTGCCCCTGCCAGCCCCACCACCCCCAGTCCTTCTGCCCTGCGCACATGCTCACTCAGGAGCAAAAACCCTGGGGAGGAACTGGGATGGGGAGGGGGGTGTGGAGGGCAGGAAAGAGCCTGGGCGGAAGAGTGACCGACGAAGGAAATGCCACCCTAGAGAACGGGGGGAGGGATTGCTCTCACCGCTCCCCTGATTTTGCCAGTAGGAAAGAAGACCTGAACCCATGCCCACTGGGCAGCCCAGGCCCAGAGTGCACTGCGTGTGAGCGCATGAGCCTCTTTGTGTGTATGCACGAGTGTGAATGCTCCCCTGAACAGGGTATGGGCCCTCTGGCCCCTATGTCACATGGGGGGCACGGACCCCAAGTGTTGTCGGTCTGCAGGGTGGGCACGCCTGGCTCTTCGGCCAGGACACAGATGCATGAGGTGTGTGCTCTGGGCCAACGTCATACACGTCCTGTAGCATGTCACGTGTGAGATTTAAATGTGTACTTTACCGCCTTGTGTGCCAGGCTTAATGCCCACAGTCCTGGAGTCATCTTACAACAACAAGTCCAGCCGACAAAGTGAACTCCGGGACAGGCGGCGGGGCCAGAGGGGCTGGAGCCAGTGGCGAGGGGTGGGGGTTGGAGCGCGGTGGGTGTGGGGCCCAGGCCCGCCCCGAAGGCTCCTGTTACTGTAAGGGGATCCTAGGAGCTGAAGACAGGCCTGCCACCCTCCCCTCCCCCACAGCCCCATGCCCATCAGTCAGTCAATCAGCAAGCATTTAATCAATCAACAGGCATGACATAGCCAGCTGCACTGGGAGAGGCCACAATGTCCAGTCCCTCTGTCCTCCAGCCTGGTCAGGCCACATGGACAGGACGGTATTAATGGCCAGTTCAGGCCATTTCAAGAAGGAAGCAGAAAGGGGGAGGCTGGTCAGGAGGGAGCCAGGGCCTGGAGGGCAGGGCATGTGAGGATCCGTTGGAGGGACCAGTTCTGGTTAGCCTGGGGAAGGAAGACCCAGGAGGGACATGATACTGTGGCTTGTTTTCAAGTCTCAGAGGGTATCAGGTACAGGAAGGATTAGCGTCTTCTGCTTGACCCCAAGGGCAGCGCTGGGAGGAGTCACTGGGGAACGTCACCCAGACAGGTCCACGTGAGAACAAACATCCCCATGCTAACTGTTTTCATGAAATGTGTATTTACAATCAAACGAATGGACTTTGTGTCTATTTTGTATTATATGTGTACCTGATGGTTCCCCCGATAGAGTGCAAGCTCCATGAGGGCAGGGGCCTTTCTAGTTTTGTCTTTGTACCCTCCGTGCTTGGCACATAGTAGATGTTCAATAAATGCTTGTTGATTGATTGATGGATTGATTGAAAACTCAAGGAATAGCTTCCTAATAATGTTAGCTGTCCTCTGGAGCGCCAAGGACTCCCCTGGAGGCGATGACTGAGCTTCCCAGAGCTGGAGGGGTGGGGAGCTTAAAGCCAGCCTTCAGAAGGCCAAAGAAATCTGGTTTGTTACTGAAGATCTGTCGCCCTCTCACCATGCCCTTGACCAAGTTCCCTTCCTTCTCTGGGCCCCACTGTCCTCCACTGGAGAAGGGGGTTGGAGTGAGGATCTCTAGGTGGCAAATCCCATCATGAGGGAAGGGGGCTGGGCTCCTGTCTCTCAGAGAGCCTGAAGGTTGGGACCCAGCTTGAATTTTGAAGGCTCAGATCCAGTAGGGAGGTAAGGGGGATGGGGTGAAGATCGGCATGCTCTGGAGACAAATCAAATCCACTCCATAGCATGGCCAAGGGCCAGACCAGCAGACAGAGGAAGCTTCAAAGAAGCCAGATTGTGTGTGGAGAGCCTTGAACGTCAGGCTGACACAGCACCAGCGAACACCACCCCTCCGGCCCTGTTTAGTCACAGGCACACCGACTCCTTCAGCCAGCTCCTTTCCTCAATCCTCTGGGTGCCCAAGTTCATGGTTACTCAAACACTACTGGAGACAGAGTTAGAGAAAATGACCTGTCCAGGGCTTCCCCAGATAATCTGTAAATCAGATAACAGAAGGGGGAAGGATTAGGGCAGGGAGCTCTCTGGAAACCTGTTCGGCTGAGGGACTTGGGTCCCCAGCCCTGTGCTGCCCTCCCATTGAGGGTGAGGGCATCCACATGCTGAAGGTTTTTTAGGAGAGGGATAACGTGGTCAGAATTGCGCCTAAGCAAGATGATTTTTAGTTTGTGGAAGATGAGTTGGAGAAGACAAAAACTGGAAGGGGAGAAATTTATGACAGTCTAGGTGAGATGATGAGGACCCACAACTAGGCTTGTGGCTGTGTAAGTGAAGAGACTTGGGAATTGGATTGGGTTTGAGTGGGGGCTGAGGGAGAGAGAAGAGTCACAAAATGTCAGAGCAGGAGGAGTCTGACCTGGATGGCAGCTGGGGTGCAACAAGTTCTCTTCCAAACTTTGCCTGAAGACCTCCAATGAGGGCAGCCCCCTGCCCATCCCACCTTCAGACAGCCCTGCCATCATTTGCCCTGAAACCTCTACCCACTGCTCCTCATTCTGCCCTTTGGGGCCAAGCTGAACCAGGCTAACTCCTCCTCCATCTAATGCTTGGGATTTGCCTCCAGATACTTGAAGACAGCTCAAATATCCCTCATCTCCCTTTACCAGACCAAAGGATGACTCAGATGCTAAACCTTGGTGACTTAGAGACGGATGGTAGCCTCCAAAGAAATAAGAGAGGTGAAAGTTTGGGGAGAGACTTAGATTAATTAAATTAATTAAACCAAGCTAATTAATTGATTAGTTTATTTCATGACAAACACAAGCCTATCTGATGCTTCATTCTCAATTGTCATTGCTAGATTATTGCCCCACTACAAGCCCTAACATGTGAGAACCTCCCAAGGTTCTGAACTGGGTCCTCTTCTCTTCTTTCCACTCTCCCTTGGTAATTTCAATTTCCATAGAATTATTTTTCATCTCTAAACAGACAATCCCCAAATCTGTACAATCTCTCTCATTCTCTCTCTCTTCCTCTTTCCTTCCCCCTCTCATTCATTATCATTCTCTCTCTCTCTCTCTCTCTCTCTCTCTCTCTCTCTCTCTCTCTCTCTCTCTCTCCCCCTCCCTTTCTCTCTCCCCCTCCCTCCCTCCCTCCTTCCTCTCACATCACCAATTGCTGCCTGCTGGACAGCTCCACCTGGATGTCCCTCTGAACCCAATACATCTACCTTATGGTTTAGCAATAGTTTAGATCGCTGTATCTAAGCATGTAAAGGGGTGTTATGTGGAGGGGGTAGGAGATTAGCTTTGTTCTGCTTCGCCCCAGAAGGCACAACCAGGAGCAGTGGGGAGAAGTTATATTGATGAAGATTTTGCCTAGAATTAAGCCAGACCTTTCTAACAAAGAGGATTGCCTAACCAATGGGGAATGTGCTGCACAAGGACAGAGAGAGATGCCCATCACTAGAGATCTTCAAATGGAAGGTGGATGACCATCTATGGTGCATGCTATAGAGGACATTCTTTTATAGGCACATATGTCCTCTGAGGTCCCTTCCAGCTCTAAAACTCTGTGGTCTTGTGTAAAGGTGCCCATAATCAACTTGTGGCAAGGTACAAAGTTCAGATACTGTGGGGTCCCTCCTTTCTTAGAAGTGACAGTGGACTAGGGGGCCTCATAAATGGTTAAAAATCAGCCTGAAGGGAAAAACTGTACACCCACCACACTTTGAAGTTTAACCTGCATTATTACCATTTTCTCTATCACTTTCTTAGGCCTAGACAATCAACAAAAGAATAAATGAAGTCCTGATCTATAGTCCTTGCTGATTTCTGAGTCATAAACGTTCACAATGAAAATTTAACAATCAGCTCTCCTTAGTGGGTCCAAGAGAAAGATGGATAGTAGTCTGAACTACTGGCCAGAACCAGACACCTAAGTACTTTAGAAAGGTGTAGATAGGGTGCTGAGGTCCAAAGGAGAGGATTGACGAGACTTGGGGACTTGGGGACCTGGGGAGTGTGACTCTTCAGTCGGAAATGATCGCAGGCAGAGCAGGTATCTGGCAAAGCAAGGCTGGAGCCCAGGGAATGTCGAGACCAGAGATCAAAGACGTAAGAGATGTTTACATAGAAGTGAAAACTGGCAACAAGGCCAACGGCAGCGAGAGGATCGGCTGAGTGGAGAAACCTGTTCGACGACCGGAGGAGCCTTCGGAACCCCCCAGATGAACATTCAGCAAGAGGAGCTCCCAAGACACAAAGCAGGAGCTGTCCGCTAGGCAGGAGGAGAGCCAGAGAGAGCAGGCCCACAGATACCAGGAGAGCAAAAACAAAGACCAAAGCCAGAGTCCCCAGCGGCAATGAGGGTTTCAACTGCAGAGGGTGGAGTTCACAGACTCAGGGCTGTCCCTTGCAGCTTGTAAGCAGCCTTAGGTTTCACAGCCAGTTCCAAGCCCTGGGTCTACCTCAACTGTTTCCAGGGCTGTTTGAGCCAGAGAGGCGCTTAGAGTGGGGGAGCAAGGGCTGGACACAGGAGACCAGCTCTAGATGGGGGAGCCCAATAAGACCCTCCCTCACCCACAGCCAGCCTCAATTTCCCTACTTAATATAACGGAGATAACGACTTCACGGGTTTCTGGAGAGGGAAGCGCTTTGTAATTCTTAACGTGCAAGAGGATGTTGTCAAATAAAGCTCCAGAGACTTGGGCCCTGCTTCCTCCCCACCCCCACCCCAGTCCCCTTGGGAGCTGATGCCAGAGGAAGAGCAGCCGAGGGCAGGGCAGGGCTGCAGAGGGAAGGAAAGGGAAAACAGGGAGAGGGGACGGGAAAGGAAGGGGGAGGGAAAGAAAAGAGAGGGGAGGGGAGGGAATAGAGGGTGGCGCCTCCCCGCTGCCCCCAGCAGGTAGCTGGGACTGCTTCCCAGGGGAAGAGGAGGAAGGGCCGGGGTCACGTGGGGCCCCGCTGCCTGAGGTTCAACAGAGGCTTAGAGAGCCCCTGGCCTGAGGGGAAAAGAGAGACAAAGAGAGTCGGAGACTAGAAAAGGGAGAGCGAGAGAGAAAGCGTGCGAGCGAGAGAGCGAGAGAGAGAGAGAGAGAGAGAGAGAGAGAGAGAGAGAGAGGGAGAGAGAGAGAGAGAGAGAGAGAGAGAGAGAGAGAGAGAGAGAGAG